AAAAAAACAAAACAAAAACAAAAACAAAACAGTTCTAGGATTTTTGAAACAATTAATGAGCATTGGCTTTAACTGAAAGTCACCAGCTGTATTAGCTCTTAAGAGGGTCAGCCTGTCCTTTGAAGCTTTGAAGCTAGGCATTCATTTCTCTTTTCTAGCTAGGAAAGTCCTAGATAGCATTTTCTTCCAATAGAAGGCTGTTTGAACTACACTGAAGATCTGTTTAGTGTGGCCACCTTTGTCAATGATTTTAGTTACATCTTCTGGATAACTTGCTTCCACATCAGCAACTTGCTGGTTCACTTTCCACTTGTAGGTTTTGGAGCTGGCTTCTTTCCTTAAACCTGGTGAACCAACCTCTGCCAGCTTCCTGCAGCTTCCTCACCTCTCTCAGCCTTCACAGAATTGAAGAGAGTTAGGGCCTTGCTCTGGGTCATGCTTTGGTTTAAAGTTGTGGCTGGTTTGATCTTCTGTCCAGGCCACTAAAACTGTCTCCACATCAGCAATAAGGTTGTTTTGCTTTCTTATCATTTGTGTGTGTGCAGTGGAGTAGAATTTTTAATTTTCTTCAAGATCTTTTTCTTTGAGTTCACAGCTTGGCTAACTGGTGCAAGAGGCCTAGCTTTCCGCCTGTCTTAGCTTTTGACATGCCTTCCTCACTAAGCTGAATTTCTACAAGTACGACCCTTTCTTTCACTTGAACACATAGAGGCTGTTGTAGAGTTATTAATTATTGTGTCTCAAGGAATAGGGAGGCTGGAGAACAGGGAGAGAGACAAGGAAATGGCCAGTGAGTAGAGCAGTTAGAACACACACAACCTTCACTAAGTTCACAGTCTCACATGGGCACGATTCATGGTGCCCCCAAAACACTTAACAACAGTAACATCAAAGGCCACCGATCACAGATCACCATAGCAGATATAAGAAATCATAAAAAAAGCTTGAAATATCAAGCTATTATCAAGGAGACAAGGAGTGAGTACATGCTATTGGAAACATGGCACTGTTAGACTTTCTAGACACAGGGTTGCCCAAAACCTTCAATTTGTAAAAAAAAAAAAAAGACAGTGATCTGTGAAGTGCAATAAAGCAAAGCACAATAAAATAACTTTATATATATATATCTATTTCAGTTTTATATTCTGAATACAAAGGCTGTTGATTAAGAATGTTGAGCTACCCAAGTATAATGTATAATAAACTATACAGAAATAGGAAACACTTCTTTGAATAAGCTACATACATAAAATATGGTACCTTTAAGATATATTAATTAATTTAAGAAATTTGCTTGGATGCCTACCGAATAAGGCACTGTGCTAGGAGCTATGAATGCAGTTGAATAAGGCACAACCCTGCTCTTAAGGAGCTTACAAACTAGCAGGATTTGTAAGACACTGTGTAAGATGTGAGCTAGAAGTGATTTCTAATGTACAGAGCAGCGAATACTTTTTGCATTGAGCGTTAGTTTAGTTGTCTTTGCAAAAGCTTCTTTCTTTTCATAATATGCGGCCTCGTTCACAAACACGGGGTACACAGTACAGTCTCCGCCCAGTGACATCGTCTTCCCATCGAGAGTTAAAAACATGGGATCCCCAGGATGCAGTGGTTTCCAGTCTTGATCCTCTCAGGAAACAATCAAAATACACATGTTACATTTGGTTTTTCTCCTCTAAAAATTTATGTCAGACTCTAGACAACTAACACATTACAGTATTCTGTTGTTTCAAAAGAGATACTTGAGCAAGGCATCGAGATGCAGGCAAGTGATCTGACTGCGCTGAAATTGGGTCATGAAATTTGGCAGTAGTTTGAAGAGTTCCCCTTTGAATTTGTATAACTGACACATGTAATTAACATTTGCTTCAGCCAGGTGCAGTGGCTCTCGCCTGTAATCCCAGCACTTGGGGAGGCCGATGTGGGCGGATCGCTTGAGCCTAGGAGTTCAAGACCAGCCTGGGCAACATAGAGATCCTAGCTCTAGAAAACATACAAAAAATTAACTGTGTGTGGTGGTGCATGCCTGTAGTCCCAGACACTCAGGAGGCTGAGGTGGGAGGAATGCTCAAGCCCCCAGAGGGCGAGGCTGCAGTGAGCTGTGTTCACACCACTGCCCTCCAGCCTGGGCGACAGAGCGAGACCCTGCGTCTGAAAAAAATAAAAAGTAGTTTGCTTCAATACCAGGGTTACCTTGAATGTAGCCAAAGAGATTTATAATATTAAAAGGCAAAACGAAATGCGTGTCTACCTAAGTGCATAGTCTGCCTGTTGCCAGCTCAAGTTAAATTCTGTTCAGCAAAATTTAGGAAATATCCATTAAGAGCCTTCTGTGTGCAAGATGTTCTACTGTTGGGAAATATAAAGATGAGCCATGTCGTACCTGCATGCAAGGAGATTCTATTCTGATAGGGATTGGTGAGAGAAGGTGGTGCTGGGCTGGGGAGAGTCTGAGACAAGGTGGGTGTATTCCAAATGTGTCCTGCATTAGGGTCACGTCTGAGTCCCCTGAACGGTCCTGCACCAGGCATTTGGACCTCTGCGCCCTCAAGCACCGTGGCCGTCACACCACAGGAACCCCAGAACAGTTCTTCTCAAACTTTGAGGTGCTTGCACATCATCTGGGGATTGTGTTAAGATGAAGATTCTGATTCTATAGGTCGGGGGTGGGGGGCCTGGGATTCTACATTTCCAACATTTCCCAGCAGCATCCGCATCACCCAGGAGCTTGTTAGAAAGGCAGGATTTCGTTAGGCGCAGCGGACCTGCCCAGTCGAAATCTTCAGGTTAACAGGTCCCCGACATTCACGTGTACAACGTTAACGTTCGAGAAGTGCCGCATCACGGCAGTTTTCTCCGTCCTGGTGGCACATTATCATCGCCTGGGATGTTAAATACGTATATACAGGGAGAGGGGCCGGCCCACTTCAGATAAATCAACTCAGAATCTCTGAGGAGGGCCTAGGCAGCATTCTTTTTAAATTTTATTTTAAAATTTACATACAGTGAAATTCACTCATTCTTGTGTACAGATCTGTGAGTCTGGACATGCAGAGCATGGAGTCATACAACCGGCAACCATGTCATCCGGATACGGATTTCTTTCACCCGCCTCCTCGAATCCGTCATGCTACCCATTCATAGTTCACTGTTTTCTGTGTTTATTGTATTGAGGCCCCAGATGATTTACAGGGTGGCTCGGCTGAGACCTGTTTCTCTGAACCAGTGGTTTTCAGGCAGAGACTTGCCCCAGAGTCACTAACGGAACTTCTTCAACACACGTCTGGCTAGCCCCACCTGCGGAGATCCTGATGTCGTGCAGTGCTACCCAGACCTGAGCCACATGAAAATCATCTGGTGAACTCAACTGATTCCCTGTCTACACCCTGATGAATTAGATCAGAGCCTCTGGGAATAGGACTCAGGAATCAGCATTTTTTTTTTTTTTTTTTCAGATGTAGTCTCAACTCTGTCCAGGCTGGAGTGCAGTGGCACAATCTCGGCTCACTGCAGCCTTCGCCTTCGAGTTCAAGCAATTCTCCTGCCTCAGGCTCCTGAGTAGCTGGGACTACAGGCGCCTGCCACCTCGCCCAGTTTATTTTTACATTTTTAGTAGAGATGGGATGTCACTGTGTTAGCCAGGATGGTCTCGATCTCCTGACCTCATGATCTGCCCACCTTGGCCTCCCAAAGCGCTGGGATTACAGGCACGAGCCACTGCTCCTGGCCAGGAATCAGCATTTTAAAAAAGCTCCCCAGGTAATTGTCATGTGGCTCGAGTTTGAGAAGTGCTACGTTAGTAGTTTGTGGTGGGTTCTAGGCATTGGGAGGGGGTCCCCTACGTGATTCCGATGAGCATCCCTTAGTAAGAACTATCACTCTTAGGACAAAATCTAGACTCATAACTGGGTCTCGGACTGTGTGTTTTCTCCAGGCTCTACCGTCCTCTGCTCACTCCTTCTCTCCAGGGACATGGGTCTTCTTGCTGTTCCTGAAATGCTCCAAGTTTGTTCCAGCCTCAGGCCCTTTCACTAGCCTTCCACATGGCTGGCTTCTCATCTTCTAGGTTCCAACTTCAGTGCCACCATCTCTGAGATGGCACTTTGTGACCACTCCGTCTAACTGGAACCCTTTGTTATAACCTCTGCTATATTATTCTTTTATATTATTTCTTTTATAGCACTGATTACAGTTTGAAATGATTTGGTTTACATATTGTTTACTTATTCACGGTCAGTTCTCCTCACCCATTGGAATGGAAGCTGCATGAGGAACCTTCCCTATCTTGAATCTCAGGGCGCAGAGTGAGCTTAGCTGTCATTCAAAAATACTTGTTGGAAGAATTAACCAATCAATTCCTCCTGTAGAATACCGAGCCATTCCATATTGTCTGTCAAATCAAAACCATCCTTCCTAACTTTCAAGACCTACCACTAGCCCAGTCTGCTACTGATCTCATTCATCTCACTTCTCCACCTGCCCGGGATTCTTTTTGTACTCCTCAAGAGTATCCTAAAACCTGAAAAATCCTGTTTTAGCCTGCCATGACATCATCACCCTGGCCTCTGTTTCTTGTACTTGATATTTTTGTCACCAATAGTGCTTTCTTCCTTTCTCTCCCCCAGTCTTTACCTTTCCTTTAAAACATTGCCTAAGGCCAGGTGTGGCCTGTAATCCCAGCACTTTGGGAGGCCAAGGCGGGAGGATCACGAGGTCAGGAGTTCGAGACCATCCTGGCCAAAATGGTGAAACCCCGTCTCTACTAAAAATACAAAACTTAGCCGGACATGGTGATGTGAGCCTGTAATCCCAGCTACTAGGGAGGCTGAAGCAGGAGAATCACTTGAACCCAGGAGGCGGAGCTTTCAGTGAGCCGAGATGGCGCTAATGCACTCCAGCCTGGGTGACAGAGTGAGATTCCGTCTCAAAAAACAAACAAAAACAAACACTGCCTAAGGCTCCTTCAGGTTTCCACCTGGGTCCCATTAAGCCACAAAGGAGGATTTGCTTCACTCGTCTGTATTACTGGGCAGAGGCCACTCCATTCAGTTGCAAGTCTGGATGACTATTGGAGTCACTAAACAGGGATAGGAACTGGATCAATCAGTGCTTTTCAACCCTGATTATCCAAGCCAGAAAGATCAGAGTATCTCAAAGTGGAGTCCTGCCATTGCTATTATTATGTTTTTTAAACGCTCTCTACGTAAAGGTTAGTGAGGGTTGAAAGCCCCAGACTGGATAATCCACCAGGTTCTCCTCCATCTCTGAGGTCTGGGAGTATGCAGGGCACTCGCACTGGGGAATGGCTTCTTCGGCTTTGGAAATCTCTTCTTCTCTCCTTTTCCCTTTGCCTTTTCTGGATTTAAACCTCCTACATTCTCTCAAGAGCCTTTTTTTTTTTTTCCCTTCTTCACTATGTCATTATTGATAAAACTAGGCAAGGAGTAGATTCTGGGGTTCTGAGGAGAGTCGGGGAATGGTGGCAGAAGAAAGAGGTTACAGTTGTTTAACTTATTCTGTCACAGGGAGGTAGCAAGCAATGTGGCCAACTGCAAAGAGCACTAACTCGGGATCTGTCCTTGATAGCTACATGGCTATGGGAAGGATCTAACTTCCGGCCCTGTATTTCCTTATATTAACATAGACATCATAGTTCCTACCCGTTGAATGTGGGTAGGAATTTCACTTTCTCTAAGCAGCCTTGTCTGAGCAATCCTCTTCCACCTCATTATTGTGTCATCGCACCTGGCTATCTTCATTTCTAGACTGCAACTTAGACTTTCGTGTACCTACACTAGAAATTCCATGCGAGTGTAGACCGCACCTACACTGATGTGTCCACACAGCCAGCACAGGTTACACTTCATCAGTATTTATGGAGCGACTGTCCAAACATCTTCCCTGCCTACGCTCAGCATCTTTTGAGACATCAAATGGGTGAATGTGCGCGAAGTGCTGTGTGAGTTGTAAACTTCCGTTCAAAGGTACAGCATTGTTACTTTCAACACTTTAAAGAAAGAACAAATGTTACCTGCAGATTGGGATGGATGACAGCAGCAATTTCTCCATTTTCATCCCTGGGATAATCAACTTTCTCTATAATTTTGTAGACCTCAATGGCACAGGGAGGAAATTCTTTTCCTATGACAAAAACAATATGTATCAATGGCAACTAAAAAACATTTCTGGGCCAGCCGCGGTGGCTCACGCCTGTAATCCCAGCACTTTGGGGGACCAAGGTGGGTGGATCACCTGAGGTCGGGAGTTCGAGACCAGCCTGACCGACATGGGGAAACCTCGTCTTTACTAAAAATACCTGGGTTGGGATTATCCCAGCTACTCGGGAGGCTGAGGCAGGAGAATCTCTTGAACCTGGGAGGTGGAGGTTGCAGTGAGCCATTGCACTCCAACCTGGGCAATAAGAGCGAAACTCTGTCTCAAAAAAAAAAAAAAAATTCTGGTAAAAGGGAAGTTGATAATGTAAGGAAGAAACAATAATAACAACAACAACAGTAACAAAATGAAGACAGCGATGGGGAGAACAGATAACGTTTAGTTAAGGATGTTCATAAATGGTACCAGGCCAAAAGATGTCCTTGAATGTTCCTGTCAGCACCCTGTCCACAAACACGCCGAAGACAGAGGCAGAAAACGGAACTGAGAAAGCCAGCTGGGGAGAAAAAGAATCTGGGTCTGGGGGTCAGGAGACCTGGGCTCTAATCCCCTGGCTATGTGGCCTTGAACAAGATGCTTAACTTCTTGAG